TTTTTTTTTTTTTAATATCGGTTGATAGTTCAAAAACTATATAGTATTTTATCTGAAATACACCGGAATAAAATTTCAATGAATACAGTGTTGCATGTATTTTATTACTGAATTTGAAATCCATGTTAGAAGCATGCCTGTTGTTTTCACTAACACTGAGTAGCAATGATTTTTGGTTAATCTATAATATTTATAAAACCTAGCATATTACATTACATACCGTTGGTGATAGATATTGAACAAGAATAGATAATAGAAACTATGACATTTTCCAGCTTCTCCGATGCCTTAACTCAATTTGTCTTATCAGTTGGGTTTTCATCATTTTTTCTCTTAGTGATTCTTAACTCATTTGATTTCTCCTCTCTGAACTTTCTGCTTCTCTTGACATCTCTTTTGGCTTCCTGTTCTATTACCTTATCTGTCTGTGCTGAGTGGGTTATTCTTGATAATCTCTGGGCTGCTTTAAATGGTGAAAGTTATGAAAAAGCAAATGATTATTAAGTCATCATTACCTCTTTCCTTTCTTTGACCCTGTTTCTCTGAGTTATTACACTTCTCCCTATTCTCCCTCCTTTCTGCTTTTTGATTCTCACTCTTCCTCTTTTTATTCCCCCTTCTTTTGTTTCATCAAACATATATGATGAAATGCTTAACGTGACTTAATTTAACAAGGGTTTATTGTGCATCTGCTCTGTGCTGGGTACTATTTTAGGCACTGTGGGAGATACATAGCTGAATGACATGGTCCCTATTTCCACAAACTTATAGCTCAGTTGTGTTGTGTGTTACTTAGGACATATTTGTTTATAAACGACAGAAATCCAATTTAGGCTGGGCGCGGTGGCTCATGCCTGTAATCTTAGCACTCTAGGAGGCGGGATCGTGTGAGGTCAGGAGTTTGAGACCAGCCTGAGCAAGAGCGAGACCCCGTCTCTACTAGTAATAGAAATATTAGCTGGGCATGGTGGTGAGTGCCTGTAGTCCCAGCTACTCGCAAGGCTGAGGTAGGAGGATCACTTGAGCCCAGAAGTTTGAGGTTGCTCTGAGCTAGGCTGATGCCATGGCAAGCTAGCCTGGGCAAGAGTGAGACTGTCTCAAAAAAAAAAAAAAAACCAGAAAGAAAGAAATCCAATTTAAATAACTTTAGGGAAAAATAGTTTATTGAACAGATAATGGAATAACTCATGTATGCGAAGGGGATGATATAGCTGGGACTCGGGAACAACTGGAACCTGGTAGCTGACAACTGGTAGCTGACATGTCTCACATTGCAGATTGTTCTCAGACAAGGGCTTGAGCCAGTGCCCATCCCAGAACTAACATGTATTGTGTGGTGGGGGGTAGTGAGCACACATGTGACAGTGGGGACTCCCTTCTGTGGGTCAGAGTCCTTTCCAGAGGAGGGAGATGCTGGGTACACAAAACAATAAATGACTGGCATGCGTAAATATATATAATGACATCTAGGTTTTGGTTAAATGCTTCAGTAAAGGTACAATGTATTTATTAGGACTCAGGGGTGATAAAGTTGAGTGTGTGTGGAGGGAGTACAGTTCACAGAGGAGACGGGATTATCACCAGAATAGCCAATAGGCAGACATTATGTATGAAGAAGGACTTTTCAGAGAAAAAGTATTAGAATAAGTAAAGGGCATGGAGAAGAGAGAGTATAAGACCTGTTTGGGGAATGGCTGACCATTGGTGACTTGAATCTAAAGAGAGTAGGCCAGTAAGATTTGGAAAGTGGTTAGGGACCAGATTGTGGAGAGCTTTTAAAACCATGTTTTAGAATCTGGATTTTCTGTGAAGTTTATTATTTTGTGTTCTCTGCTATTTCTTGTGTTTATTATGTAGTATTTGATTCCTTACAAAACAAACAAAAACCAAACTACCAATATATTTAGCCTCCTTTGTGATAATGCCACTTCTTCCTCTAGAGTGATATGCCCACAATATACCTTTGTTGCATACCTTTCTTATTGAAGTATGTGTAGATGCTTATATACGGATTGGAGGGTTTGGTGTAGTGTCTCTTAAATTTTAACATGAAAAACAGGATATTCTTTATAATGCAAGTAAATTTGCAGTTTTCAGCCAACAGAAAAATTAATGTGATATTTTTACATATTACAGGAATGTGACAAGTGTCAGAGGTAAGTTTTATTTGTTCCTCTTTCTATCTATATGTAATAAAATAGTCCCTCTAACCTTTTATCTGATACTGACTATATTTTTAAAATTTTATTTTACATGACAAGGCGGCAGAAGAATAGAGCATTTTGCTATTTTTGTAATTCTGTACAGAAGTTACCAATTTGTGCACAGTGTGGTAAGTATATAATAACTAAGGACACATGCCTTTGGCACTTACTCAATTTGAACTTGCTTATTATTGCTTATAATGGTTATGATTGCTTACAATGTTATGCCTTTCCATTATAAAACATCACGAAATGTTATTTGGCCTACCATAAAACTATCAGGTCTTTGTTTTGCCTCTTTGATGTAATGCTGGAAAATAATTAAGGTACAATTTAGATATAGGTTGCCAAT